TAGTAATCTAATGAACACTTTTCCTGCATTCAATAGTTGAAATAGCCTGATATACAATTAAGAATTAAAATTATGGTGAGACCAGAAATGTGGCATCCAATAATTTTAGTCCCTTTGATAGTCTTAATGGAACTCAACTCCATACTCTCCAGAAGTATTTAGCTTAATTACATCCATCCCTTATGGAGGATAACAAATATTAAGTCATGTAGATTACTGTCGCGTACAACATGCCGCATCATTACTAAGCAATACATAAAATACTAGGTTGAGTAAATTTCGTGGATTTGTGTACTATTATAATCCTCTAGGTGAGCGCCGGTGGTCCACCCATAAAATGCTTGCCAACCAGATACGTGATCAGGTTTCGATTCCCAGCCGACGTACACTTCAACCTCATGATAGTAAGCCTGGGGAAGAGGGAAGTTTGGGAGCGGGGCTAACACCTCTACTCCGTAAAAACAATAAACACCACTGTTACTGAAACCCAAAAACTTGAAGCTCTACGTTCCACTCCGAAAGCACAAAGCGTACACTTCCTGAACATTATTCCACAGAATACTCAAGCATCTGGTGAACTCAGACTATGCAGCACCACAAGAGTCATCTTTTAAGATTATCTACAAGGTCAGACTGAATAGTACAAATGATGTTAGGTCTCAACATTTGTGTGCGGCAGAGGCGCTGGCACTTTGTCAATATAACCCCATGATCTTCTGTAGTTGTTCATTCTTTTTAGCAATTAATTCATTATCAACACTTCTTCGTGCGATTTTGTACATTTTCTCACCCTCTCCACACTTGTCAAGTGAACATTTATTCAATAACTGGTTTAATTCTTATTAAATTTCGAACCCTTTGTTCCAATGTGCCAGTGATAACTGTGTTACCCTTTATTACTCAAAAATAGACTAACATTTACTTTTTTTAGTAAATATAAATATGGTTGTACAGTCTCTGCAAACGATCTCGTCGATAAAGAAAATTATCTTCGCTAAATTGTCTTTTACTTTCTGCATGATTCAATGGGTATTAACGGCCTTTAATAAGAAGATATTCTTCTAGTCAAACGATCTAACTTAAAGTTTAAAAATACAAGTCCAGTGTATTTTTAACGGCAGAAGATAAGGGAATTAGTAACGAACTTTTCCTACTAGGGAAAACCACATCATAGTTATGTATTTTTAACAACAAGAAAAGTCGGTTAGGTCAGTGAACAATCAACTGTTCTGATTGGTTGGTGATCGACCCAAGGTCAACCAATCAGATTATTGTCCGACCACAACGTAAACTAGATCGAGATTTGAGAAATAAACACTGAAGTGTACATGATCTGAAGGAAAATTATACAGTCTCACACTGGATAAATTAGAATGGTTTTGACAGCTAATCACTAAATATAATATTATTATTATTATTGAAAAGATCCTATTTGGCTGACAGTTCCCCATAGCAGCATAATACTGAGCGCAAAACATAATTAATCGCTAAGTGTAAAAGAAAAGAAAACCTGATGAATATATTATGCTAAAACGTAATAATGATTCTACGTGGACGTTTATTGTATCTTTAAATCTCCTAAATTAATTGTATGCAGAAAATGAATGGTCCGAATACGCATAATTTACAGTGCATTTCTAAATATACTTTCGTATAAGGCATATGATAGTGACATTTACCGGCACAATATCAAAGCGAAATGTACACTGCTTTAGTATCTAATTATACTGATTTAAAATCTTACCACTTCTCAAGTATTGGTTTTGTAGGGATTTACTTTGATCGGATGGAGGATTTCATCATGAGCTGACATTGTGAATTAACAGAAGTTAGAATTCATGGGCCAATGGATCGGGTCCCAGTGAGTGGCTTAATGGTCTACTAGCTTGCTGGCCTTGTAACCAGAAGGTCCTAGGTTCGAACCCTGGTGGTGGATGCGTACTGCTGAAGAGTCCCGAACTAGGCTGACGAAACAACTGTCCAGTACTCCCAGTGATTTTCTAACTGATGTCAGTCAGCTCATGATGAAATCCTCCATCCAATCTTACCACTTCTTGTTTTAGCCCAGTTCCTTGAACAGGCCTTTCGTGTTCTAGGATATGAGTCACACAGATATTGTCAATAATACTAGTGTGGTGGTTTGGTATAGACAATATGCTTCAACGGAATATTGTCCTCACATATTTCCACAGTTCAATAGCGCATTAGCATCAGAATACTATGTACATTCGAATATTCTATTTCATGTCGTTTAATGTAAACTAAAATCACACGATCAGTGAATAGTTGACGAATATAAGTTGTATTTATATAAATAAATAAATAAATTGTATATACATAAATAACGGTTTGGTCAAGTGAAAATGTACCTTGGCTTGTGTCTCGCCTTCCACTGTTACATTTGGTATCACTGCCTGTCGACAAATGAGAAGCCTATGCCCTGCAGTTTTTGAGGGAGACATACGCATCTTCTTCTGGCAGGACATCGAGGCTGTTGAGGAGTTGAATGGCATTCAAGATACGTCAGCGAAGAGGCTTTTACTTGGAACGCTGCTGAGAGGTTGGCCAACGGCAGCATATGACAGTGTGAGGCAAAACACAGGCGAATACGCGACAGCCGGGGTCACGAGAACTGCTCCCGCCCAAAGTGGGAAGGATCATACACGGTCACCGCGAGATGATGGGGTTACGCATATATGATCAGAAATGCAAAAAAGCGAAGCGGATGGACGTCAGCGAGCTACGAAACTGGACACATAAATACAAGCAAACAAAGACGCCAGCACCAAGAAGATCGGATCAACTTCAGTCTAAAGTATTTGACGGGTGGACGAGCATGGTGGTTTGATACAGAAAATGTGTTTCAATGGGACATTATTCTCACATATTCTGACAGTTCAATACTGCATTGGCAACAGAATACTATAGGTATATTTGAACATTCTATTTCATGTCGCTTAATGTAGTAAACCAAAATCACTCGCTCAATGATTGGTTAAAGAATTTAAACTGTATAGATATAAATAGCCGTCTGATCACTTGAAAATATACCTTTGCTTTCGTGTCTTGCCTTCTGTTGTTACACTACTACTATTACCGAGTGATTGCCCTGAATGAAGTAGGCTCAGTAGGGGATTATTCGAACCTGAAACCCACTCACTGACTAGAAGAGTCGATTACCTAAGCCAGTGGAACCACCCTTCTCCACTAAATCATCTCACTTTTCTTACTCACCCCCTACTTTCTGAAAATCCAAAACTATCAAAAAGTCAAATTAGATACTAGTGTTGATTTATTTGATAAGAAGGTGCAGTAGGTATTGCACACAAATGAATATGAATAATAATCATAGAAAAGAACAACGACAGCAACAACAACAGAAAGAAATAAAAAGAGAAACGAAAACATAGGTTAAAATTAAAATGTGTTGATATATTGCGAAATGTATAAATAATAGAAATAATAATAAATATAATATGAATGTACTTTGATTAAAACATGAAGGATTAATTATGATAAATGGCGCTAAAATGTGTAAAAAACAGTGTATGATAATAATGATAATAATAATAGTAAATGTATTGCATAATGATACTATAGGCACCCATCATCAGTATATAAATAAAAGCACTGACTGACTTAAAACTGCCTTTCTCACGCATACAACGAATTATAATTACAATGCGATAATAAAAGCGATAAAGGATGGACAACAATACGAGTTAAGTGAGCAAGCAAGCGAGCAAGCCAGCTAAAAAGCAAGCAACGACGACAACGTATCATAATATTCTCGTGGCGAAGTATTAAAAAAAGGCAAAAGAATATATACCTGAAGAAGTATTGCAAAATCCGATAGTTTCCCAGTGTTCCTAGATTGAATCAATCAATAAATAAATATCCAACGATGTGAACTGATGGTGGCAACATTCATGATCGACAGGGAGGGAGAGACAGAGGAGCCAGGACACAAAACGAACGAGCACATCATCATCATCATCAACATCATCAAATCCATATGAAACACGACTGTGAACAAAAGTGACGAAAGTCAGAATTCCGTGCACAGCACAATCGAAAAATTCATCGAAATTCGAAAGGCATAAAAAGAAACACACACACATAGAAGACAAGTACACTGAAAATAAACAAAAAGTTATTGCGTTTGAAAAGTTGAAATTAGTGCACTTGTGGCATAACCAGTAGCCATTGATTGGCACTTGGGCGGCGGGGGGGGGGGAAGAGTCGAATATCAAAATTTTATCTCAATATGTATATAATTGAGATGCCTTTCGCGAAATTAAAGTGTTTAGAGGCACTAGACTGTGCTAGAACGAAAACGACTACGGGTGGGGGGTTAAAAGATTTGTGTGAAGTTACTTCACTGAAATTTAAAAAAAAACAGAAAAAAAGAAACGATCACATAACAGCAGGACCACCTAACCAATCAGAATCGTTCTCTTCTAGCACCATCATATCTGGACTGAGATAACCAGTACTAAGATTTTGTGAAGGCATTGCAGGCGAAGAATTTGTAGTACTATGGGATTGCTCTAAACGGGATGATCGTAATACTGCCGCCGCTTGTCCATCTGGATGAATTGACGGCTTGTATTCCGATGGTGATGGGTTCACAAACAATTCACTCCCAGGACTTAAATATCCACTTGTATTTACACTTCCAGTACACGATCGACGTGGTGTGACACTCATTCCTCCTTGGTAAATAGAATTATGTCCTTGTACTGAAGTATTATTGTCAAAATTCTGAACAGATGGGGGTAAAAATGTTGAGCCTGCAGTATAGGCGGAGGTACCACAGCTCATGAATCCTGTACGACTTGGTGGACGGACATTATGATACACTTTTACTGGCTGCAACTCTGAATACGTTCCGGAAGATTGATTATTGTTAATATTGGTGTTATTATTAATATTGTCTGGATTATAAATGCAATTTGGATCCGAGCATGTTCCAGCAGGACCACAATCATTCCAATATGAGCAACAATCACCGCACACGGAATCTGAAATGGAGACATTAAAAATAATCATATAATAAGGATTTAGTCGAGGCAAAGTTCAACAAAAGCGCCCCAAGAGATGGGAACGCATGAGTGACCCTCAGTCGACCAATTTTTGCGAAAAAAATGACGTTTATTTACAGGAAAATTTATGAAAACACATTAAGCACGGTATCTTTCTCTGATATTGCTCAAAGATACGTCCCAGTTATCATGAGGAGTATCAGTTGCTAAGTTAGACTACTTTCTGTACATGTATTCACCGAGGTGACTGAAGATGAGCTGTTTTTGTGAAACGTTTATCTCTCTTATCCTATTGTGCAGTCAGCCTCAAAAGCCCTCGGTTGAATTAGTATGGTTTGCGGTAAGAGGATAGACGACAACTTACCAGGAAAATGTGGATAAGAAAACAAATTAAAATAAATGACATCAACTCTAAATCTATCCCTAGTCTTAACTCTAACCTTAATCCTAACCCTAAACATAACACTAAACCTAATCACAACCCTAAACCTAACTCTAATGCTAATTATGACCCTGATCCTAACCCTAACGAGCTATTAACACATTGTCCAAACATTACTTAAAAACGTGATCTGACTGAAACTTGCTACTTAGTTGATGAACAGCGTTGATATTTCAGCTATGACAGTGACATGTGCCGTCAGCCAATGCCTAGCATGCGTTCAAGGTCACTGGAGCGTTCGCACTCCGTAGTCGAAAAAAAGAAATATTAAAAGTTAAACACTGTATCAGAACTGCAGCTAGGTGTACATAGCCCATGCCCGGTAATTCATATTCATTACCTTCAGCTGGCAGGGGTATTCCTCACAAATGTCAAGGGGAGAATGCTGACATCTGGAGCTTACAACCAAAACGCTGAACATGCAGATCTACCCAAGGCGGAGACTGAAAAACCCTAACTCCAAACCTATGGTGTACATGGGCTTCAGAATCCGATAGGATTGAATCAAGCATGAACTAATTTCGGTCACCGGAAAGCATGTGATGAACGCAGCTCTATTGCTTTGAATATCAGGCTTCGAGTCAAAGGATCGTAGGGTGGTCCCCTCAGTACAACCATCTGCTTCGATTTGGACACACAGGAAGTATCCTAGCCCTCGAACAAAAACTACGAGACAATAATTCCATGAGATTATAATCGAGTACTCACTGTTACAGACTACAATCATATTTTTAGCAACGTGTTCTTTGTTGACTTTATTTGCATACACAGACCTTTTCATTTTATTTTTACCAACTTTACTACTTCCGGTGTCTTCACTTTTGTCAGTCTTTCATCTTTGTTTGAAATCTCAACTTGCCTATGTCCTTTTGAGTTGTTGGTTAATAGTCTTCAAAATGTTGACGTCCAGAGCAATATCTAACACAGATTTCTTGAAACAGTGTGTCTTTTTCGAGCTTGCCATCTTCCCTTTCTGAAAGTAACATGAAGTGATGAATGTTGAGTGATGGTGATTCCTTGTCCTCTGGATGACCTTCCTAGTTATTCCGTCCCTATTTTCTTTATAAATCGTTAATGTTTTATTTTCGTGGTACGAGTTTCTTGATGCCCATAATGTACCAAGTTTGTTTTAAGTAATAATAATAACGATGATAATCTCATCCGCATCTGATTACTATACGTTGTCAACGCAGAACCCAAAAGTCCATCAGTTCAAGTTTTCATACACACAAAAAGTACATGCAAAAGTCTGGGAAAGAAATGCAAGGAAACACTAATGACTGAAGAAATACAAGAGAGTGAAAGAGAGCAGTTACATGAAGATTAATGAGGGGTTTCAGAATCTCGATAATAATAAGGAGTTAATACTTTATCTACGTCACTGCTCAATATTTTGAGCCATTTCAACAAAAAAAACCAATCAATGACTCTTAGCAACCTGAGAGCCTCAGACAAGCAATTTACACCACCGACCCACCACCCCGTAGCCGGCTCTTGAGCACCTGAAATCGAACAGTATTACATTTATTACCACACCTATGACGAAACTAAGTAAAAATAGCGATACTGCGCATGCTTCGTGGATATTGGTGGTCGGTGTTCCATCAGACACAACCCTTCATCAGCTCTTACATGGTTGTATGAAATGGAGTGTTTCAACTACGGACGAAACTGACGAGGTATCAAAGCCAGAATCGGAAAAGCAAGACAAGCTTCATTACTCTCAAGTCTGTGTGGAGGTCAACAACACTCAGCATCAAAAATAAGATCCGGATTTTCAACTCCAATGTGAAGTCAGTCAGTGCTACTCTACACGGATCAGAGACTTGGCGCGTCATAGAGAGCATCTCAAACAAACTTCAGACCTTTATTAACAGTTGTCTTCGCTCAATACTCAAGATCAGATGGCCAGAAAAGATCAGAAACAGGGATCTCTGGCAACGAGCGAACCAACCAGGAACCGATTGTGAAACAAATAGGCAGGAAGAAATGGAGATGGATTGGCCATACTCTGAGGAAACCATCAAGTGACATCACCAGACAAGCCATTGCTCGAGTGGAACCCGAAATGGAAGCGGCGAGTTGGTCGTCAATGCAAGGGTGACTTGGAGGAGGTCATGTGAAGAGGAGATGAAAGCATGGGGGCGGACTTGGAGCGGGGTGGAAAAGTTGGCAATGGAGACGTGCAGCTGAAGCCCTATGTTCCTCTAGGAATTAAAGGATATAACAATAATAATAATGAAATGGAGTAGAATGCCTCTATTAGTATAAGAAACTGTCTTGGTACTCCCTTCACAATGAGACATTGTCACAGCACCTCTCCAAAAGACGTTCAAATGTCTTCAAGTCGTAAAAATGCGAAGTTTTAGACAGCAGTAAGTACGCCTGTTTTCTGTAACCTGTCAAATGATGAATATATAGTGAATAACCCTCAAGTGTGCCGGAAACTTGCGTGCTTTCTTCAAGTTTATTCCTCTTAAGCCCCATTTTTCAGAGCCATGGGCCCGCTAAGTTAAGTGTTTCATTTCTTACCACCTACTCCTGATTGCTTCGCCATCTCTTTGGCTTTTGTCACACACCACTGTTCATGGCCATTAAAGTTTACAGTTAGGTGGCATCTGAGTGACTTTGACTGCTCACTTTTTGAGCCTGTCAGAATTAGTCTCCTTGAATCTATTAGTTTACATAAAGTAGCAAAAGTTCCCCGGCACTTACTAACCTACGGTTTTAGGTTTCCAACAGCCTTCAACATTGTTCCTACAGCTGACTGGGCATTATGACACGAAAGGGTGCCATTGTACTACTCAGATAGGTATTCAGTCATATATTCCTTAAATTTAAACTGTGTTCTCAATTTGGTGGCGTAGTGACCCGTCCAGTTGTAGGCATATATGTGCACGAACCGGTGATTGATCAATCTACACAGTTGTTCCAGAAGGATCGGCAGTTTTCTACCATCCCCTGCATTGATGGTTTATCGCTATGTGATCTATTTGAGTGTCCATATTAGATTTGATGGGGTAGAGGTCGCCAGGTTGGGCGATATATTTCCCCATGTTTGACATTAATGACCAACAGAATTGTACATAAGCCTCAAACGTTCAAAGACACCATAAAGAGATGGTAGTGTGATCGGCCGAGAAGAACGCTGTTTATTTGACTAAAACACTGACGAAAGCGAGTGGAAACAGAAGTCATCTTTAAAACTGAGTCTGACAGAATCTTGATGATAATAAATGAGGCAAACTAGCTTCTAGTTTTATCAGCTGAGGGTTCTAAAAGCTGTTAATATTCAATTGGATGGTTACTGAAAGACATTTTAACTCTAATAACGATGTGTTATTATTGCTTGTCAACTTTCACTCAACCCAATAGTGACAAGCGCAAATAACTAGGATATCCATTCGCAAAAGACATCTTCTAACTGAGAACAACTGTTGTTTGAAGAGGTGACTAACGAACTACAATCTCAAATACCAACGCTACTAGAATAGAGTGTAAGTGTATGCAATTTACAAGTTCCAAAAAAGACAGGACGTGTGTCCTGAACTTCACAGATGGTCAACAATGACATATCAAAGCAATCAAGAATTCGAAACTTACACCGAAACCCAGTATTGTAGCTAGAGTGTGAAAATACCGACTGTCAAACAATGAACCATTGACTACTCAATTCTTCCAACCTCACCTCTACATTGATGGTGACTATGTAGAACAAAATTTAACAAACAGTACAACTTACTCTTACAACCTGACGGAAGTGGTCCAAGCATTGCCATCAGAGAGTTTGAAGAACCTCCATACGTGTTCCCCTGTTCTTGGGAATGAGTTTGCAAAGGAGGATGGCTCCAATTCCCATGAGGAGGAAATGAAGGCACGCCAGGATGTGAACTACCAGTTGAATGTTGGACAGGTTGAACAGAAGGGACATGATAAACTTCCCCAGTATCCATAGGTAAAGGTGGTGTATTCAATGATTCTATATGCGATGGAAAGATGTAAGAATTACCCCCAACGCCTCTACGTTCCTCAGCAAGCCGAATAACTACTGCGGATGCATACGTTGAGATAGCTTCATTTCTAGACCGAACCAACTCATCAAACCTAGAGCCTGCACCAGGTAAAGTGGCTAGAGCCTCAAGACCATCACGATCCTGTGAAACCTCAGCGAGAACGCCAGCTGCAGCGCGTTGGATAGATTCGTGAGGTGAATGAAGAAGTTCGACGAATATTGCGAGGCCAGAGGAACCAGGTTGAATATTTGGAGTTATACTCAAAGCCGGAGCCTAAAAATTATAAAATGGTGAAATACAATATTAATTTAGTATCTAAGAAAATCAGCAAGTAATAATCACAAGAATCTGCTTTTAGGTTTGGTTATTATTGAGAAACTAAACACACTTGCAACTGACAGACACGCTTAGTATCTACCTGGTAGGTGTTTAGTGTATTTTCGCAAACTACATTTAATTTGCAAGGAGAGCGGCTTATGATACTAAGCTGTTTTATAAGCCGAAAGTAAGTCTTAGCATGTGACGAACCATTTGGAAGTTGAAAAATTAGATCGATCAATGATAACTACAATAGAAATAAAGTATCTTTTCGCACTGAAAAGTTATTCGGATATCAGGTAGAGAAGTTGCAAGCATCATAGCTACTGTTGGTTCATAAAACATTAAATAATCTTGAAAAAACACATATATATTCAGTGGCGCTGTCAACTTTAGACCACCAATATAACTGAAGTGAGGTTTCACAGAGCTTCTCATGACTAATTTGAAGTGCCGATTGGGTATATAGTGAGCACCTACCGATATACCAACAAAACAGACTAGAGTGGGAATAAAAACGATAAAGATGATATATAAAGTGAGAACCAACCATGTAAGGGAAAAAATGTAGAAAGAGCTGTTGTTACGTTGTGTCTACAACACTGTTCAAAGAACAAAAAGCAGTCACGTAGGCTTCGGTTATGATTTCAGGAATCACAATAACAAAAAAAGACCCATGTGTGATGCGACCACCTTTCAATCCTCTCCGTCATTTGAAACTGATTATTTATCTCTTTATTCAGTTCTAGAGCTAGTTCATTTATTAAACTAAGCTGGACGATTACAATGTGATGAATTTAAGCTATCAAAGTGAACACTCGAAGATTGCATTACTATGATCAGATGCCCCAACTACACCTAAATACACCACTGAACTTGGAAATTAAGTAAATCATGCTGTCAATAAACGTGAACAGTTTTATAATCTAGCAAAGACCTGCTTCATACTTACGCTATCGCCAAGACTACTTACTTTCTTCTGTAAGTTCTAATTGGTAGTACATTTAAGAATGAACTGTGAGATGGGACATCTCCAACTTAATTAACTACTGCATTATATCGAGATCCGATACTAAGAAATAATAAATACTGACTTGCCATGTCTATAACAGCATTCAACCATACTACAGCCCTTCCTAAAATACCACTCTATGTGGTATATTTGTTGGAAATACATAAAATTTTACGTGTCTGATTACAGTTAAAGTATTTGTCAAATGGAAACATCCAATGTGTAGTGTTATTGTTACATTCAGTTTTCCTATGAAAAAGTGAAGGTAACAGTCTTAGCCCGTATCATGTATATATATATATATATATATATATATATATATGTATATATATATATATATATATAACAATTTAAAACGCACACAAAAATGAAGATAACAAAAGCGTAACGACGACAAGATAGATAAAGATATGTGGAAGAAAATAATTAGGCGTTGGGTAGAGATAATAAGTAAATCGATGGGGTTTTTCAGTTTCACTGTTTCGGTAAGCTGAACAAAAAACCTCCTTGCCGAAGGATCAGGTTGAAAAAGAGTTAAAGGTGGCTCCCCATGATTAAAGATGATCTTACTGATTGTGGCAGACTGAATCATGCAGCATACCATAGGAGAGTGAGAAAACTGGCATATGTTTGACCAACGAGGAGGCTCAAGAGATTTTTAAATTCTTCTGACATCGTGGACTTTTGTGCATCGGTGGTTCGACGGTAGAATGCTCACCAACCACGCATGTGGTCCAAAGTTCGATCTTCGGCCGATGCACTGCTGAACTTCGCTGAGGCGATGATAAGACCAGTAAAGAAGGAACGTAAAGGAATAAAATAAAAAATAATAAATAAGATGATCTATGTCTCATGTCGAACGAACTCAAAGACGTTCAAGTGAAAACCAATAAGCTGGTAAAAGAGACAGACAGCGAATACAGGACTTAGATTGAACACAGGGAAAACATGGGTGATGGAGATACGAAACAACAACGACAAGCACCAATCATCTTCAATGGTAATCTAGAGTAAGGTATTTACTTCACCTGCCTGGGTAGCACTGTTTTAGTTACACACGGAACAAATGGTGACGTCAAAGTCAGAATAGGAAAAGCAAGATAGACATTCGCTACTGTGAAAGCAGTGTGGAAAGATATGAATTTTCGTCTACTTTCAAGTCAGTGCTTCTATGTGGTTCACAGACTTAGCGCGTATATCACTGAATACATTTCAACAGGTTCCAGACTTTCACCGATTGATGCCTTCACTTGATAGTAAAGATCAGATAGTTGGCCAAAAAGGATAAGTAACAAGGAATCCTGATAATGCAGCCAATCAGGTAAAAATCTATTGTCTAACATATATGAAGTAAGAAATGGAGATAGATTGAACATGCACTGATGTGACCTACAGATGATACTACGCATCAAGTTCTTGGTTGAAACCCTATATGGAAAGTGACGAGTTAGGTTCTCGAGCGCAAGATGAAGACCATGTCAGGAAAAATGGGAGCTTGATAATATTCGTAGATCTAGTTAAAAGTGACGGCAGAGAATAGAGTGCAATGGATATGCGCTTCTGAGTCCATATGTTCCACTCGGAGCCCAAAGAATGCATAATAATAATTTTCTATAGATGGTTTGTAAGGATTAGTTTTGATTTTTTTATGAGTTGATCACGGATTGATGTCAGTTAGAGAACCACTGAAAACCAGGAAACAGCTGTCCAGTACTCCCTGGCTTTTAATGGTTCTCTAACTGATATCAGTCCGTGATCAACTCATAAATAGTAATAATAATAATAACAATAATAATAATAATAGACACCACAGCATAGCTTCATTTCATGGGGCATGTTTTAATTTATACATTCAATAACTCATCGACTGTCCCAGCTTTCTTACTCAACACTGGGCATCGAATTTGATCATAATCCATTTCGCTCCACCTGACAACAATATGACCAAGAGGCTACAGTATTCGTATATCTTCCGTTTTAACATCCCTCCCACTGTGGAGTACACACACTGAGAAATGGCAGAATACCTTGCCGATACTAAACACTATGCGAACAGAGAAATGCCAAACAAGTCTTTTTTATTTACAGCTAGATTCCACACTGTATTTTTGGTACAAGTATGGAATTTTCAGCATGGATATCGGTAGACCAAATTTTGCAGGCCGACCACAGATATCAGGTGTGCGTCGGCAGGGGATCGAACCTCGGACCATGTGCATGGTCGGCGAGAGTCTTAACCACTGTGCCACCGACGCACAGTGCTGAGATTTTGTCAGCAACCATCCTACTGGGATTGTAACAACTTACCAAGTAAATAAATCTTGATACACATAAAAATAGCTGTAAACTAACCTTTAGTAAGGCCAAATATGAACGAGTAGCATGATCCTTTGCCAACATATGAAGTGCCCCGCAAATTCCTTCCACGATCTCTTCGAGTCTTACGCTTTGAACTACCGTCGAGAATGTTGGATGAGAAGCAGGAGCGCCAGAAACAGAACGCTAAAACACGGATCAAAAATTGTTTGAAAATTTAGCCTAGTATAAATCACATATATTCAGTGACAATAAAACAGTTGTTTTACTGGAACCCAGGAGGAATTCACTGCTTTCATTGCCCTTTTTCATCTACCCAACTACTACTACAGTTTTCTTACTTACTACAAAACTAGTCTATAACGCGTAGATTCTCATTCCATCATAACTAGATGCAGAATTTAATCTGGATACTGCTCACATAGTGTATTTTAACAAGAGCGAACAGAATCGATGGCTTATGATTGAATGCCTGTAGTCATTCACTATCTACACAACAATAATATAATATACATGGGATACACTAAACTGTGGCAATGCACTATATGTCTGTAAATTTAGCTCTTAATACATAAATGGTAACAAAAAGAAAAACTGTCAGCTCATGATTAAATCCTCCATGCAATCGAAAAAGAAAAACATCAATACATGAACGTCACTTATGTATTTGTACTGAATTACGAAATAAATCAAGATAACGCTATCTGTTAACTCATAAAACTTTAGTACAGTATAGTTTAAAATTCCGACTGGATGGTGGGAATTTAAGTGTCTACAATATCGATACCACCCATGCCTATTAATCAATAGATTTTGGAATACCACCTGATGTTTTATCAACGGCGAAATTAAATTAATCACTAAGGTCAATTTAAAAATGTGAATGAGGTTACGTCGTTACCTCGTGTATAAATTCATTTACTAAGCTCAGTCACATCTGGTGTGAAGTGTGGCAACTTAAAAAGATGCACTATAGCACAATTCCATGTCAATCAGTGCATCAGTGAATAGTGACCTAAATTTGAGAAGTGAAGCTGTTGGGACAAAAGACCTAGTAGTTGAAACTAAAATATCCGGATCGACGAAAGTTTTAGAGGGGGGAAATCAAACAACAGAGATTTAGAGATAAAACCTAAAGCCACTTCAACTGTTCCAAAGAAAATTTGTTAATTAGACTCCCAATATATTCTAATTTTAAAAAACCGGTTTGACTGTTAAATATAACTAGTGCTAACTCATATCACTGGATGTTCTTAGCATAACAAACATAGATGGCAATTGGTATTTTACGCAATTTACGTCGAATAATCGATTCTTTAGTTGGCTTTTCCCCTTAACTGGCTACAAAAACAACTAATACAAAAGCAATTGTCGTGAGCAACGAAAGCACAGATAAGTGAATGCATCTTTCTAACTAGATAGTGTATTATTACCATTGGTTAAGTAAAACGTTCACATAAATCGACAAAAGTAATACAGTTAATACGTAATGAAAAAATATACTTACCCTCACTATCTCGTGTTGAGTAGCATAAAGTAATAAAAACAAACCGGTAACAAGTCCACACTCTCGCATTCCGAAATGACTGTCCAAATTGACAGACAAATTTCTTAACAAGCCAACCATAGCCTTCACAAGCATCCAAGAAACCACCGGATTTTGAGGATGTTGGCATACCAGACCGAGATCAGGGCAAATACCAGCAGTGGCTGCATGTAAAATCCGAGCGATCACTGGTAAACCATTTAGTTCATGGACTATAGCATGTCTTGCTGTCTCTTCCTCTTCATGACGACTGGTCAAGTGCCTCAAAGCGCACATGCATGGCTCCAGAATATCTTCCTTAACAACAGGTTGACTGACAGCACGTAAAAGCCCTTCTACACCACCCATCTGAAAACAAAGTTTGAAGTGAATTCACTTCCTTACCTTGAAAACAACAAATTTATTTGCATGATTATTACACGTAAGGTTTGATAGAATTCCAGCTGCACATGTAATCATACCACTGTCCCCACAATCAAGTAGACGTACCAATGAATGCAACAAGGGCTGGAGATTATCCATTTTTGTTGCTGCATCAGATAAATTACGAAGTGCCCAGAGACAATTCAATACTAATCGATGACTAGAACTGTGCAAGTGCTTTGCTAGGGCATCCATTCCTCCAGCAACAATTATGGCCGGCTTGTTAGAAGCACACACACTTAGGACTTTAAGTACTCGGGCCGTAGTCCACAATAACTTTTCATACTGGTAAGTCTTCAGTATGCGAACCAGCTCAACAGGTCCCCCGCTGCATAGTATTTGCAGCTTACTTTCTTGATGACCGTAAGCCAATATTTGTAAACAGTCCGTGCAGATTGTCAGGAATTTGATGTTATTCTTCCGCAGTAAGGCAGTCATTTTCTGCAAACATCCACTCTGCCTTACAACAGCCTTGGCCCCTTCTTGGTGAAGCAGAAGGTTGTGCAATGTTGTTATTGCATAAAACAAAACTGATTCTACTGGAGAATTGAGAAGTTTCACAAGACATGGGATACATTGAGCAGCAAATATTGCCTACAGTATAAGCGTTTTTAAAAATAAGCACCTTACCTTGAGGCCTGGTTGCATTTGAGAAATATTGTATAATGTGCCAGCAAGAAAACGCACTGTTTCTGGATCTTCTGTTCGATCTAGTGCAGATATTATGCAGTCGATCATGTCTCTGGATTTTATAAGAGCATCAATGGCTTCTGATTTGCTTAGTTGGAAAACCATCATTGATGACTGATAAATAATGACCTGGTCATCTTCATCTTTAATGAGTTTAACGAGTTCTGGGATGGCTCCAGCAGCTTCATCAGTATCAATCTCTGGCAATTTGTTTCCCCTTAAATCAACATTACTAGCTGAGTGTGAGCCACCGACATCACTCAAGGAGTCGACACCCAAAATACTGCTGGTACTAGGGGTAGCTGGAGACAGTAAGCAAGAGTCTGATGGGTTAACAGAGAGAGGAAATGTAGATGACCATTGAGGTAAAGGACCACACTTTTGACTAAAATAACGATCATCCACCTCAGTATCGTCGATGCCCATTTTACTGCTGATGCTTGGTGTGTGTGTCCCGACGGCACTTTGAATACCAGAATCCGAAAGATAGTTTGTTTGTTGCCACATTTTGACTCGTTGACATTTATCTACCATTTGGGTGGAGACACCATCTGAATCTGTACCTTGGCTCATAGGCACGCCTTGATCGTTGGATATATTGCAACTTTGCATATCTTGTAATGAATGTGTATTAACAGAATCCATATCTGAGGCGCATTTATGTAACGAAAAGCTCTAAGAACAGAGCACGAAAAGGTAAAGTAGAGTTTCAAACTGTACGCTCCTAAGAATGAATCCAAAACCAATATCCAACGTCTTTTTGGCGAAATTGTTATGTACCTTGTGATTTTTCTGGGGCCTAGTTACTGCCGTTACGGAAGGGCTGCAGGTTTTTGGTTGATTCAATTACAATTTATCCCTCGATTGCTCCAGACTTTCTGAACTCAGAATGAGTAGACACAATTTTAGAGGGAGGGGATAGTTGTACCAGGGATTTCAGATTTTGCTTCGCTGGGTATAAGGGGCTTTGTGACAGTCATCACTCAATATTTGATTGATGTCTGAAAGTCCACCTATTTAAAATGCCGTCATTTACACTGGCAGCTATCTGGGAGATGGGAAATCATATTACTGATTAGTGTAACTGCATGTTTAAGTCGATCCCTTTCAGAATAACGCCTTTTGAGTTCTGTTAACGTCTGATTAACATTACACACCCCTGAAAACGCTAGATATAACTAATGATAGTTGGTAGTTCCTTCATTAATACCGAAGTGATGCGTTTGCCAGTAGCTTGAGTTATTTCTTAAACACTTTAAGAGCATCAACTGGTTGTAGATGGTAACGTCAGTAAGTGTTTATGATATGCACTGACGCAGTTTATCTATCAGGATGAAATCCGTTTCAATCAAAACTGATTACTGATGCAAAAAAGCTGTTGAATACATTCATCGCGTGACTTACACTGTCATAAGGAAATGCATGCGTGACATACTTCAGCTACTCTTTACCATCATTATAAAAACTGCCAAACACTCCTATTACGCCTTCAGTTTCACTTAAGGCACCACTACTATGATTAATGCCTTGCCTTATGAGTGGAACATATGGCCTCGGAAGCATATTTCCTTTACACCTGCTTGCCTGCCATTACTTGTGACTGATTGCTGACTGCACCCAAGCTATCATTTTCTACTCATATCACTTTACGACGTTTGATTCGCTACCGCTCACTAAGGTTCGACAAGATGGTCAGATGCGTTCTGAAACCTGAAGGCATTTTCATAGTATGTTGAATTTTTATTCACTTTCTTTAACATGGACTTGTAGAGGTAAATAATTCCCCAAAATTATTGACCACATGAATACATTATGCCTAAGAGAAGAATTACATCGTGACCATAAGAATCACCAGTGAACATTGGATGCAGACACTTAGAGTTTAAGTCGACTTGTTTAGCTGAAGGCTTCCCGTCAGGCATCCCCGCCATTTGGTACTCCGTCGTGTCACGTTCGTGCACGATAACTGGCTAGCTTAGATTCCGCTTCAATCCGCGATTTGGTTCCGAAATATATATCGTAATTTAGACAGTCAGTTGTGGTGTTTTTCTTTGCCTTTGGTACACGAGAAACAAATAAGATAGAAGTTGTTGGTATAAGATCTTGCGCTAATATACTCAGTACAGTTCGCTAACGTCTCTACCGTTAGCCTTTAAACTGTTGAGCCCAACCGCGAACTTCGTCTTCAATAAATACGCAGATAACTCCGGTGAGTTCGTTCCTTTTTGTATTTGTTCTTGTACTATATTTTATTCGACATACTTTTCGTCATGAGTGATCTTAGTTCCAATGTCATTCGTATTCGCTCAGCTCCTAAAACCACTAAACTCGTATCATACTGACCAGACAGTACTGAAACGTGGTTTCAGCTAGCTGAAGCAGATTTTTGTGAGCATGGGATAACCGATCAACGTTCACAGTTCCTTGCAGTTATTCACGCCCTGCCGCGGGAATTCAGCGGTCCCGAGGTAAGTAACTCGTACGAATTGCTCAAAGCATCCCTCCTCAGGAGAAACGTTCTCACGGACAGACAACGTCTGGACGAATTATTTCGTGACATCGAGTCAGAAGATAAGACAGCCGTGAGCATGCCGACAAGAATGAGAGAGGTTATTGGCCATAGTCAGTTCGATGAAGGACTTTTTAGAGAACTCTTCTTATCCAAGCTGCCACAGTCCGTGCAGACCGTACTTGTGACACTTCAGGGTGCTATTATAGATGACTTAGCCATTTCTGCAGATAAGATTCTAGAAATAACTAAACGGTCTGTTCCCGAAATATGCTCGGTGGCCAAGCAGACTTCGAGTAAACATACTGCAGTTATAGAGTTATGCAACTCCATCCGGCAGATATTTATGTCAAACATGCCTTGTAATTCCTCCTACCGTCGTCCTTAATCCCCTCAACGGCGAAACTCATGTGGTCGATCTAAGTCGAAGCCACGTTCATTGAAAAACCCTCACTGGTGCTGGCACTACAACACCTATGGCCAGGAAGCGAAATGTTGCCTTAAGCCTTGTAACTTTGGAAACGTCTCAGAGTCTGTGGGAAACTATCCCGCCGGCACGCGTTAGCAGCAACCGTCGCCGGTGGCACTAGCCGCCTACTTTACATCCATGATGTGAGCAGCCAGACTCGATATTTAGTCGACACAGGCGCTGGAGTCAGCGTCCTTCCTGCTATAGCACCAGATCGACAGAAGGAACCTACCTTCAACTTACAGGCTACAAATGGAAAACCAGTCGCCACCTTTGGCAGGAAATACTTCTATCTGAACGTAGGTTTACGCAAACCTATTCAGTGGATTTTCCTTCCCGCTGACGTCACAATGCCCATCATTGTCACGGACCTACTTAATCATCATGATTTACTCGCAGACGTCCGCCGAAAACGACCGATTGACAATACTATTAGTCTGTCCATCAAAGGCATCACCTACATAGGCCCCAGCTTGTCACTCGTTAAGATAAAGGCAATCCTTGATCCAACTTTTCAACCTATTGTTGATAAATATCCGGAACTTAATTGCTCGTCTAACGACCTACCGTGCTTAACCAGCAATGTTATGCGCCACATCATAATATCAGGTCAGCCCGTGACATCTAAAGCACGACGACTTGCTCCTGACTGTCTGAAACCGGCTTACTTGGAAGGTAATCCTACTAGCATAAAGCTAAGCATACCCCATAATCCACAAGTAACCGGAGATCCTTTAGTCCTTGAAGAAGTCACTAGCACAGCGAAAGCTACCGAATCTTCTGTCAAGCACCGTAAGAAAACCCGTTCTGGACGTAATGTAAGATTCCCAGAATATCTTCACACCTATATGACATAACTAAGTCGTGTGATTCACCCCAACCATTCGTTTGTGGTACTCATTTTTTTCTCTTCACACCCATCAATTTTTTATATACAGTATTACTTATTCCTTGAGGCATACATAGACTCCGTCAGAATCCCAGTGTCCTATTTCCGTTATCCAAATATGTGTGGTTAAGCCTGGCATGGTCAGTCAGGACTTCTAGAAAGACCGATAAAGCCAACAAGACAAGAAGAAAATTGTGATTAAAAACGTAAGTGAATCGAAACTGTGCCAATTTACTCCCAGCTATGTAGTAGCTCCTGTCATCCAACCGTCATTTGGAACTGTAAGTTTACGTGCTTTCATCTATTCAGTTTGAATTTATTTCCAGTAATCGAGTCCAGTGAAGTGTAGAAAGCATCAAAGACAACCGTTATCACAGATTCACTAGGATTATTTCACCAGAAATGATCATGTTTGTAGTAGCGTGGCGAGTACTGTTTAATAATAATAATTTCATCACAAGTAAATTCATTTTAGCAGCCCACTTCGTTGTGCCATTTAAAAAACTTCAAGCTCGTTTACCCTCTAGGCTGAACTAAAGACAGCCATCCTTATTTTTGTGTGGCAAACTGTTACTCTATAACTGTGCTCTGGTCAAAGCCAGCCGACGCGCTAACCCGGCCCCTTGCCCTGGTGACCAAGGTTGTCTTAACACTGCTGCAAATAGGAAGGGAGAAAAAATACTTATAGCAGTTAAAAATTATATTCGAGGATACGTATGAAAAGCTGGGTTTTGAACGAAAACGGCTGAGGAACTTTGGGGACTGCGAACTACTACAGTCCCCACTGACTCTATCAATGTATTTGAAGATTGAATGATCAATTCATGGTTGTTTGCTCAAGCTCAACTCCTCCATATTTTTCGCGGGAGTCATCAATACAACAGTCAATGACTCATCCTTCGTTCTTCGGTGGAAGACAGAAAACTATCAGAAAAAATTTAGTGATTTATTCTTATAACATTTATTCTCAGACCTTGTGCATAATAACCCTATTGTTGGTTACATATCGGCGTAAGAATAAAGGATTCTCTGTGTTCTCGTTTTCGCGTTGGTTATTACCAATTGCTTCCGAAAGTCATCTAGGGACAGCGTGAGGTCCAGCATAGTAGGAGCTGGACATTGACGGTTTCTGATAGTTTCTGTTCGTCTTTTCTCGTGTCTGCCCGTCTTCTTTAGACAAGTGTTATCCGAAACTTTTCTGAATTTTTTGGTCAAGTTCAGTGATGCCTCGGTCAGGGTAGGGACAAACCGTCTTGGAAGCAAGCAGGAAAGTAAGTAATGCTGAGTCGCTTGTTAATTGCAATGATATGTATGATGCTCAGCATGATGAGTCTGTTGTTTATGGTTCGCTGTTTAGGGATAGCAAAAGGTATAAAGTAACCTAAATTAGAGCCTCGGTACTCTGATGGAAACCCAAACGACTATCCATAGTTTATCAAAGAGTTTAAGATCATGTTGAGAGTTTTTTTATTAAATGATGAAATGGGTTAATGTATTTGTTGAGGTACTGCACTGGAGTTGCTTCAAGAGCTATACGGTGCTGTGAGCTCATACCCCCAAACGAAGGATACCCTGAGCCGACGCGTAACCTGCATCAAAGGTTTGCGAGTACTTCGATGATTGTAGGGAAATTATTCCAGGCTGTTAAAGGTAATGGTAGCCAATTATGAGATGACTCCAAGGCACTCTCTGTGTTTTTGGATAATCTGTTGACTTGCAAGAATTCATTCATTCCGATGAATAGCATGAGCGATTTGAACTCAAGGTCAGCCCTAGAGGTAATAGCGAGACGCCCACCTACTCGACCGCAGAAGAAGTGGGTGAAGACAAGCTCCCGTATAGAGGATGAAGGTAATGAGCCAAAGATCGATGATATTCTGAAACTATTAAAACATAGTGTCAACAAAGCAATGAGCAAGTTTGCAGGTATATTGCATCCCAACCCTAGAATAGAGAAGTCTGAGAGCAAAACGCAATCATTTATGATTAAAGGGTCTCATCGAAGCGGATATCGAGAAAGCTTCATGGTGTCTAGTA